CCCGCCTGCACCAACCCCCTTGTTCGTCGAGTAAATCCGCCTCCGTCGACGGATTCCGTCTCGACCCGACGGAAAGTGGTGCAGAGAAAAGCGTGGCAGAACGCGCCACAGAACAGCTGACACTGAAATAAAAGCGTATACCTTAACAAATAAATATATAAACTGCAATGGGCAAACTTGATAAGGAATAGGAGGCACAAAAAAAGGGGGCATTCCCTACAATTATCATTAATACGTATATAATCAATCTTACTCTTATTCATGCGCAGGTGCCAGGTAGAACATCTGTCGACGGTTTCGCTACCCGTGCGCCGTAGAGCAAGTAAATATGAACTTAATGAGAAATCATTCTTGTACCACCGGGGCCAGCCTTTCTAGCACGCTGCAGGGACCGTCTCGACCGAGTACGAAGACGAAGGGTCAGGCGTTACTTTCACCGACCAGCTCGACGCTGCTTGGTCGAACAGCATTCGCCAAGACCAGCTCATCGAGCACAGCACGCCAAGCAGTGCCCATCGAAGGGTTTCATCGACCATTAATGTGCATTAGCAATGCACGTCGGCGTCGTCGACTGGATCCCGTCGAGCAGAGCCTGCGATAGCATTTTTGTCGTCAACCGTCCCGTCGTCGACATAAAACGAAGTGTTGTCGAAGAGAGTTTGAAAACGAATCATTGCCATAGGTGAATTACTAACCTTTTCAGGTAGTGTTAAAATCATACAATTTGGAAAGCTATAGTTTGTTAAATATGATGCTTTTTTCTGTATTTATTACATAGACAAATATGGTCTGTTCGATGGGGTAGTAAAATGCAGCTGCCAAACTCTACTGCAACAATAACATTGCTTGTGTCGATTGTCCACGTTCACGATATGTATTAACGTATAGTAAAACTCGAGCATTGTTGATTAGTTATGTGATTGTGAGTCTCGATGCTACAAAGAGAAGTGAAACAGGGTGCTGGCGGCGATAGATTTGCTTGGTCGATTGAAATAAATTTCTCGACCGCTTTGCTCTGTCTGTCGAAATCTTTCGTTTTGACAAATGGGGGTAATGCGCAGCGCGACAATTTCCACGTCGAATGCAGATGCTGACTTGCCAAAATCCAGAAACGGCTTCTGCTGTCGATAATCAATTTCATCGAACAGCGTCTCGGAAATTTTGTTTTCCCGACTGTGAAATCGGAACCTTATCGAATGAGTTTCCCTGTTCGACAGAAAGTATTGCAGTACTGTCTCTACAAAAATGTGAAAGTGTAGGAGCAAAGTTTTTCAATGTGCTTTGTCGAGACGTTTAGCGGAATCCCTAAGTACTGTCGAACATCCCGGGAGCACCTGTTGTCGAACATCACATTTGAGTTTTCGTCGAAGAAAAAATATGTGCCGCGAATTTGGAATGTTGTCGAAGGCGATACACCCTTCTAATGCCAACTAGGGCTCTGTCGAAGACAGGAAATTGCAGAACTGAAGTATTAACGCCCTTCCTTCGAGAATTAACACATTTTCGACGGAAATACCCCTTCCGTCGAGAACAAAATGTATGCACATTCTCGACGGAAATACCCCTTCCGTCGAGAATCGTATATTATTTTTAGGGCCTTAACTTGGCTGATATTTTGAGTTACGAAACACTTTCTTTTTAATTCTACGATGGTATATTGAGTTGTCTCCCGCTGAGTTCCTTCAATTTCTACTGTTACGGCCGACATATATTGTCATAAGAATACGACATTGAACCCGCGGGTTTAGGAGGGTTTTTTGGCCTGGTCTGCCGGGAATTTCTGGGGGCCCGGAGGGATTCCGCGGGTTTTTTTCGTTTTGCCTCAATTCCCTTTGTGCCAGGGCGAGCGGGGCGGCATGTGATGACGTCACCCGTGTGTATATAATTGCGGTTCCAGCCAATGAGACATAACCACTAAGAAGGTGTCTCATGTGGCTGGTCCGCCCCGAGCTGGTCCGCAGCAAAAAAAAGCATGCCTGGTCCGCAATTCTGGTCCGACGGACCAAATTCGCGGACCAGCCGTGGACCAGGCACGAGCTGGTCTACGTGAGACATCGCGCCACGGTTTGTGCAGAACTAGCGAATAAAAATCAGTACTTACGAAAATCAGACATGTTGAAATTGAGTTACCTCATTATTTTTGCCCCGTAATAATTTCCCAACCTGTTGGGAGCGACAATCACGAGTGGCAAGAATTTTCGCAAACAGCTGTGTGAGCTGCTACAGTTACGTACCAGGCGCGGGCTGGTCTGGCGATCAGTTCAATGGCCCCGTTGCACTATATGCCAGTTGAAAGTTTTATCGGGGTTAATCTCGGTCCAGTCCGCCGCTGGTTCAGGCTTGGCTCTCGAGCTGGTCCGCCAGATCCGCGTCGGAATACGTGGACCCGCACAATTAAGACACGTCCTAAAAACGTGTTCCAAGGACAGACCCCATTTACATGGGACAGACCCCATTTTTTGGCGTTACCTCCTCTCCGGCTGGCTCGGGATAAAATCTCGGTACAATTTAGAACAAGAACTTTGTCATTTTACTGGTCGATGTGACACGTGATTGAGGAGCGCGCATGTGACTGACAACCCCACCCCTCCTCTCCGCCTGACACTAGGTCAGATCCCACTCTCCTTGCAAGATAGAAACGCGTACCTAGAAAATGCCCGTGCCTCATGTGACTGACAGCTCGTGTCTACCAATTGAAACAAGCTTAATTATTGAAGCGATTGAGAAACACGACCCTCGAAAACTGGGTTAGGTAGACCATTCTTCGTTAGAAACGCGTTGCAGGGCATAGAACACAGCATGTAGCCCATTTACCATATGATATCAATCTGTTGAACTATATAACATAATTAATAACCCAGTTAATACGGTACTGCCAAATCCCACCAACAATAACCACTGACGCTGACCTCTCCATTCCAATCAATTCCTCCTGTTATGAATCCTCACTCCTCAATCCTGGCACTAGAATTTTTCTTGCCAGACCTGATATCCTAAACCATCCACAGCTACGAGAAGTGGAATAGCAACTGGCAACAATTTCTGGTAGCCCTCTTTATTCCTTCTAATCACATACCCCTCCGCTCCACACCTCAGCCCTCCTGGCCAGACTTCATATTCGATTTTTGCCATGTAAACTATCCGAATCTATCCCTCTGACTGATAGCTTCCAGCTCATACCTCTTCTCTTCTCCCACACTAGTCGCTCTTCCATGATTTCATCACCACTACAGGAGGTGGAGTGGCACTGTCCACAGCGATCTAATTCAATGCCAGCTTATTCTGGTCGTCGCTATTGGCCCATGTGCGCTCGTCGAAAACATTTTCCTGCCCGCTGCCATCGCTGGCAAAAATTGCAGCAAACAGGAGCACGAACACGTTGCATATAATCACGCCGCAGCAGATCGCTTCTGTAGTTGTAACGTTCATTGCTTTCTGTAACTGATAAATCCGAGAGAAGGATGCTTCCCGGCCCGGAGCTGCTTAGAACGGAAATGCGATGATGTTGCTGTTCCATCCCCTAGCATGGGTGAGAAGGGAACGGGTGTGGGGGTTGGGTGGAGGGATCCAGGCTGGGGCTGGTGAGCATCTCTTGCATCAGGCGAGGAAAGGTTTCGCCTTACAAGGCGAGGCAGGCAGTACAATGGAGAACTTATGCACTTATCATAGGATGGCATGTATGATGATGCCTGCCATGTGCTTACGCCTCTTCGCGTTTTCACGTGCAGCAGCAGCCCCATGTGTTGAGCATGCACTGAGCAGCTAATGCCCACTTACACAAGGTGACACCACGGCTGCTGCCCAGCTAATCTGGCCCCATGCCTCACTCCTCGCCTGCGTGCTCCCACTTCTTGCATGAATGTGGCTCTGCCACGCTGCCGGGCTGTGTGCTGCAGCCATGAGATGGGCTCCTCACCACTAGTGCAGCACAGCACAGGTGCTGTTGATGAAGGATGGGAGGGGAGTTGGGCGGGAGGAGTACAAAGGGGTGTAAATCAGACCAGAGTGAGGAGGGGCGAGGTGGACAGTTGACAGGTGATGACATTGCACATGGGAAAGCAGTGCCCAGATTGGTTGGAGCATCAAAGTATGGGATGGGAGCAAGCGATAGTGGGGGCAGGGGAACACTGTAGTAGTGTAGCAAGCGAACAATGGCTCACGGGAAGGTGAGAGCATGGGAGCTTGGGGGTATGGTAGCATGGGAGCAGTGATGCATGGGAGGATGGTATGAAGCGAGCAATAGCTCAACTGCACATTGGAGAATGGAAGCAGGGAGAGCACGAGGGCATGGGTGTATGGGACCAAGGGAGTGTCGGTCCACGCGAGCATGGGGGCATGGGTCAGAGGATCGTGGGAGCATGAGAACATGGGAACATGAGAGTATGTGAGAATGGGATCATAGGAGCAGAATCATGGGATAATGGGAGCATGGAGCATGTGAACGCAGAAAAGCAGGAGTGTGAGACACGAGAACATGGGAGTATAGGAGCATGGAAGAATGCAGGAATGGGAGCATGGGGAGCATGGCACAACGGAGCTTATGCATGCCTTTACTCATGTCCTTCCAGCATGATCCTCTCGAGCTTAAAGGGAAACAATAAGAATTCTACGCAGCAGTAGGACCTGAGTCAGTAGCATTGAGGTGCACAACCGTCCATGGGGTGTGCATTGAATGGGTGGAGCATGGGGCTGCAACAAGGAGGTACATTTGAGATAACCTGGAGTCCATGCAATTCGTGTTCTTTCATACCCCACAATACTCTAGGTATACTGAAGCTATCAATGCATTGTGGTGAACTGTCTGACGTGCAGCGACCTGTTGATGCTGATCCAATTCTCCATACTCAATTAACAAGGAGAAGCATCTGTGGCTATCAGAAGAACAAAGCCTCCACCCAAAACTAGGCAGGCAACACCCCCCCCCCTTTCATCTTCACTGGCCTCCACACGTAGGCAGTGACTATCAACTATCTCCCATCACTTGTTGCCACGGTGCCACCCTACATGCCAATCCGCTTGCGCAGATCCACACTGAAAACTTGCCCTCCTTCTGGCAGCCCCAGGCATATCAGCTGAGTGAGGGCAGTCAGCTGTGTGAGGGCAGTCAGCTGTGTGAGGGCAGTCAGCTGTGTGAGGGCAGTCAGCTGCTGCAGCCCATCATCATTGACTGCCGTGTTATCCAGCCCAAGGTTCTTTAGCCTGGTCAGCCTCCCTACATCCGCCATGCTACCTTTAGTCACGCCCTTGCATCCAGAAAGCCCCAGGGACTCAAGGGAGGAGAGAGCTGTCAGGTGTGGCAGCCCAGCATCAGTGACTGCCGTCCCACCCAGCACAAGTTCTTCCAGTCCTGTGAGCTTCCCCACATCCACCATGCCAGTGTCTGTCACACCCTTGCAATCCGAAAGGCGCAGCGATTTAAGAGAGGAGAGGCCTGTCAAGTGTGCCAAAGCAGCATCCGTGACTGCTGTCCCATCCATCCATAGCTCTTCCAACCCTGTCAGTTTCCCCATATCCACCATGCCTGCATCTGTCACACCCTTACATTCTGAAAGGTGAAGCGACTTAAGAGAGGAGAGAGCTGACAAGTGCGGCAGTGCAGCATCTGCGACTGCAGTCCCATCCAGCCTAAGTTGCTCAAGAGCTGTCAGCCTCCCCACACACACCATGCCATCAGATGTCACACCCTTGCATCCAGAAAGCACCAACACTTTAAGCGAGGAAGCATTTACCAAGTGCAGCAGCCCAGCATCGGTCACGTTTGCCTGCTTGAGATCGAGGTCGTGAAGACAGGCCAAGGAGCCAATACCCTCCAGAAAACCGTCTGAGACGTCTGTGCTGTTGAGGTCCAGCAACTCCAGGCGTGGCAGCCTGTAGAGGTGCTTGATGCCCTCTGCAGTAAAGCCAGAGGCAGATTGCAGGTGGATGTACTTCACATGGTTCATGGTGGACACATGCGCGAGCATGGCGTCTGAGAGGCCCTTGAAAAAAGAGAGTGACAGACTGGCATCCTGTGATGCTAACTTGATCCTCTGGAGGGAACGGATAAAAAGGATTGACGGGAAAGACTAAGTTGATAAAGCATGCCCTGCCCTGTAGAACAATGCATGTCTTGTAAAAACGTTTTCAGTCAGCACTCACTTCCCATGCGGACTCAAAACCTTTAGTCTGCCCAAAACCAAGCTAGCTCTGCTTCCATATCTATCTCTTTCAAGCGTTAACAGTAGCAACCCCGTAATGCTTTCTTCTACTAGTCTGCCACGAATGCACCCACCACTCACCTGCCACGCATGCATGCACCCACCACTCACCTGCCACGCCTTCTTCTCATCGCCGTCACACTTCCCAATTGCCTCCTCAACCCTCAACTGCATCACAGCATCCTGGTGTTCCTTCATCGTCCTCATCTCCGCCACTCGCCTCCTCTCGGCCTCCTCCAACTCTCCCTTGGTTGATGCCAACTCCCTCCTTGTCTCTTCCATCTGCCCTCCAAGCATACTCATCTTCAGCTCCATCGCCTCTTTCCACTCAAGTGTTCCGGCCATACCCACGATGGCAGTCGCAACAGCCTCACCCACTCCCATCATCCCGGAAGCGATATGCGCCCTGCACATGGAAGCATATGGCAGGACATGGGAAGCAACCAGATGGATACGAGGAGTAGGGATAGAAACTGCAGGTGGAGTGTTGGGTGGATATGAGGAAGTCAAAAGCGGAAAACATTGGTGGTTTAAAACACAAGCACCCATCATGTCCAACGGAGGTGGCAGGTCAGACAAACAAAGGAGCACGACAAAGGGTAGCGATTGGCATGCTCACTCACATGAGGCTATGCAGCAGAGGGGAGGCTTCACGCGACTGCAGCATGCGACGGCAGGGAAGGGAAGGCGGGATGAGTGGTGATGAGAGAAGGCGGCGAGACGGGAGAGGAATGCGCAGATGCACGGAAAATAGGGAAAGCATAAAAAGGGAAGGGGTCAAAAGGCAGGGCTGCGCTGCAGGTGTGGAGGGCAGAGCGCATGGCATACCAGGAGGCACTTGGTTGCACTCTTCAGGTTCATCAGCCCAGCCGTCACAGCCAAGCCCTGCTGATGCACCCATGCTCTGACTTGCGTGTGGGTCACGCCCATCCCCCACAGGAGCGTTCCAAGGGTAGCAATGACAACATACAGCACTAAGACATGCATTGCACCCGGCGACTGCAGATGTGGGACAACAAGGGCGGAAGAACGGCACAAGTGGTGTGAGGGGCCAGCCAGCAATAGGTTCCTAATTCTGTTACACTGAATCCCGACGCTACCAACATTGCTGGTTTGTTGCAGCAAGATGGCAATACCAGAAGCCTGAGTTATCCCAACACGCACCAGGACTTGGCGGCACTGAGGAGGCATGTTGAGAGTAGCGGCAGGGTGAGAAGAGGTGGCAACTGAGTGGGCATGTGTAGGAGACCCGCATGTGGCATTCTGAGACGTGGCAGTGTCATTGAGCTGCAAGGCAGACAACACATGCGGGACATAAACATGCATGCATGTACATATGAATCCACACACACACAGAGACACACACACACACACACACACACACACATACACACAGACACACACACACACACACACACACACACACACACACACACACACACACACACACACACACACACACACACACACACACAAATACAAAACAATGTGGGGGGAAGGCGTCATGTGCTGATCCTGCATAATAATACAAAAGTAACCATGACAATGGCACGTGCTTACATGAGCGAGGGAAGGAGAGGGCAGCATGAGAGCGTGGTTCTCTTGGTCACTGTTGGTGTCGCATGGAAGCTGCAAGAGGTAGGCAGAAAGGAAGGAAGGAAGGCACAGGTGGTGCATGCTGAGCTCAAGGCAGGGAAGGACTACGACGTTGAATCTGCAAGGAACATGTAGGCTCAGCCACCCGTATCATGTAATTGCCACAAGTGCGTCATGGTGTTCCTCTGCGACTGACTACTCGTCATCAAGGCACGGGCGATCACTCACATCCTCTGCCACTGACGCACGCCAACAAGCATCCCTGCCACGTGGCATCATGCTGATGACTGCGATGGCAGCGCCAAGGAAAGCCACGAGCAGCCCTGGCATCCGAGCCATGGCTGATGGGGCGAGCCCAAATGAAAGGAACCCTGCACAGTGAGGTGCGGCAGGAGCAGAGGAGGGAGGAGGGCAGGAAAAGGAAAAACAGGGAGGTGACAAAGGATGTAACAAGGCGAGGCAAGGGATTGATACGGGTGGAGCATATAGGCTCGGGATCCATAGAAGTGAGCATAAGGATGATGATATGAGAATGGCGTCTAGCATAGGATTACACGAAATCAGTTGAAAGTCAGATTAAACGGGCAGGCTAAAGTGCAAGGCTTGGGTGACCCAAGCCCAAGCTGGGAGATGTTTGAATGGACATGGTGAGATTAGTCAGTATGTACGTACAGATTCAGAAAAGGAGGTACGGTGATGATGGATACGACACAAGTAACCTCCACAAGCGACCGTCCTTGCTGCATGGACGGATGTGGTGGAGAGACCACGAAAGGGGAGACGAGAAATAGGTGGAATGAATGTGATGCAGGTCGATGGGCACAGGATGAGTGAAAGCGAAGGGAGTGGAAGAGCTGGAGCAAGGAGAGGGAGGCGGCTGGGGGGGCATCGAGCAAGAACAAGGCGGTGGGGTAGACTAGTGAAGGGGAAATAGTGATTGCAAGCAATTTATAGCAGAAGCAGCATGGAGCCTATGACTAGTTTCTGTCAAGAATGGCAGCAAGAGGGGAGCGGGGGGGCTGGAGCGGAGCGAAGCGAACTGTGACGATAGTGTTGTGGACAACGGATCTACTAGCAGGACAATCACGCAAACAGAACAGGTGAGGCACTAGGGGATACGGAGAGAGAAGAGGTGGGATATGCATGGGGTAGGACGCATCAGATAATAGAAGATCGAACGCTTCAGGTCAGAGAAGCAGCAGGAGGGGACGCACCCGGTACCCTGGTGGGAGATGGCAGCAGGGCGGTGGCAGCACAGTGGAGAGGCCGTACCTGGAGCGCGTGCAGGTGTGCGGAGAGGCAGCGGCGAGCTGCCAGCTGAGAGGTGCTTGGGGCTGCCAAACCGGAGAGCAGACGCGGGAGGCGACAAGAGGTGGCGTTTGGCCGCAGCGCCAAAAGCGCTGTTGAGGAGAGGAATTGAGGAGGGGCAGGAGGCTAGAAGCGGTGTTGAAGGAGGCGCACGCAGAAAATATGAAGGAAATATCAGGTAAGAAGCGAACAGGTAGGACTAATGGACGTCGTGCACTGCAGTTGGGAGCTGAGGGACAATGGCCCACGAGGAACAGTGAGTTGGGCACGGAGATGAGTGATGAGTGATGGCGGCGGGGATGAATGATGTGTGCGGTGCGGTGCGGTACCGTGCGGCGGAGGAGGCAATGGGCCACCGCCTCCGTCGCACCCATCTCGCGCCCTTCGCCGCGGCAGATGCGGTATCACTTTCCGCGCTTTCTGCGCGCCTTTGCGCGGAAGAAAAATACGCCTCTCCTTTCCGCACGCGTTTTTCACGCACAGCATGCGTGTCTTCGTTGTGTCGTGTTCGTTCCGCCATATCATCGAGTCGCTTCCGACACGGCCATCATTATCATGGCAGAAATGGACATCGTAGCGTCGCCCATGGCTGTTTCTCCAAGGCAGGGAAGCACTGGTCGGATGCGCGCTACGTCGACAAGCATCATGTCGCCGCGTCGTGAGACGTCACGTATATCCTAGATTTACGGTAAATCTACTACCTAGTCGGAGGGTATATCCTAGATTTGGCTGTCACCAAGCACCAGGCAGCGAATCATCGCCTTGAATGATGCGCGAATGCGATGCGATAGGGGCGAGGAGAGGCGTGTGCATGGAGCGAGCATGGCGACACCTGGAGCTATGAGTGGAGGCGCGGGAGTGTTGCTTCACCACCATTCACGCTTTGAGAGGAGACGGGCGTGAGTGATGGAGTGGAAGAGAGGCGTGAAGGGGATGGGGGTGCGACAGGACTGGGCTTGTGGGGTTGGATCTGGATGCGCGAAATTTATTCGAGATGCGCGAAAACAGCCTAACGTTCTCTTGTTTGCCTTGATGGGTGGTAATTCTCATTCGTTGAGATTCGTAATTCCGTCTCGCCGATTTCGCCGTCCAAACCATCCTCCCCACTTCTCTGGTTTGCGGTACTAGCAGAACCTCGACATTGTTAGAAGAGTTGCTGCACGAACAGCTAGATCGTAAGAGCGCATCCTTCCATCTCAAGAAGAGGTGGCTTGAATTGCCTACACGGAACCAGTACGAAGGGCGACGCCGTTCTCTCGCCCATTTGTAGTACTAAATATCTCCGCCTCGTCTCGAACTCCTTACGAAACACTCTCGGAGTTCGCAGGGAGTCCCTCGCAACACTTACAAAATTCGCTTAGCCTCTCCATACGCACCACGACTGCAGATCGACTTCCCGCGCCGCTGCGGAGTCGCGTCGGGGGCCGCAGGAACACGATAGTTTCAGAAACCCTAAATAGAGGTAAGCCTCCACGTTTCCCCTGTCGGCCATCCGCATTGCAAGCATGAGGCTCACAGCCTACGAACCATGGTGCTCCTGTCAGAGGTTTCAATATGCAGCTTTTGGTTACATACTATATTCGTGGCGATTCCTGCACACCGCCTGGAAACTAGCCAAGCCCCTTGACGCATGCTCGCCCTCGTAGCATTGGTGTCGCGGCCCCTTCCCATGCTGTGTTCATTCGCCCTGGTTCGTATACTCACGCTGTCACTTACCCAGAATCTGGCCGACCTAGCCTGTGACCCACCTCAGCTTGTGACCAACCTAGGCGGTGACTGACACAACTTGTGACTGATCTTGCCCGTGATTGACCTAGCTTGTCTGACCTAGCCTATCTGACCTAGCTTGTCTGACCTAGCCTATCTGACCTAGCCTGTCTGACCTAGCCTGTCTGACCTAGCCTGTCTGACCTAGCCTGTCTGACCTAGCCTGTCTGACCTAGCCTGTCTGACCTAGCCTGTCACTGACATACCTGGTGATCGACCTAGCTCATGGCTGACCTAGCTTATGGCTGGCAGCCTAGACTTGGGAACAGGGATGAGTCGAGTCGAGTCGAGTCAACCTAGAGTCGATCAAGAGTCAAATGTCGGGTCGATTTTGTAATTTGGCTGTTCATTTCATTCACATTAGATGCGCAAGTGTGGGTCCGTTGCTGGTGGCATTTACCCAAGGTAAGTGCTTGGGTCGCGCCAACGTACTCGACTAGCAACGAGCTAGCTACATCTAGTCGAATCACGACTTGGCGAGTCATGCTGACTCGATCCAGTCAGGGGATGCATTGTCCATTAGTTTCACCTGACTCGACTCGACTCGGTTTCATTCAAATAGGAGATTGAACCGACGCCACTCGACACACACGAGTTGGGCGAGTTGAGTCGAATCTTAATCGCTGCCCGCGTCTAACGTGGCTTGTGGTTGGCCTTGCATGTGACCGACCCAGGTTGTCATGAGTAACCCAGCCTATGACTACCTAGCTTGTGCATGACATAGCCCGCAAGTCCCCTAACCTCTTACCACCATTCTAACCAATGACCGACCTGATTTTTGTCAGACCTAGCCTGTGCTTGACCTAGCGTGGGGCCCACCTATTCCATGAAGGGTTTAGACTGTGAGTGTCTCTGTTTGTGGTTCTCTTAACCTGTGAGTGACACAGCCTCTGACTGACGGAATCTCTTACCGATTTAACTGAGTCTGACCTAGCTTGTGATTAACCTAGCCTCCGCGAGACCTATTCTATGAGTGACCTAGCTTGTGGCTAACCTAGCCCGTGACCAACATACCCTCCGGCTTAACAAAGCCTCTGACTGACCAAGCTTGTGGGCGGGGATTGCCTTTGACTGGCCTATGTTTCAACTGAGATATTCAGTGAGTGGCCTAGCCAATAAGTGACCTGGCCAATAATTGACCTGTCCAATTACTGACCTTGTCAGTGAGTAACCTAGCCTTGAATGAACTGACTCAAATCGTGACCGAGCTATCCCATATTGACTCACAGGTAGGTCATGCCCGCCCTAGCTTTCGAGTAACCTAGGCTGTATCCGACCTACCTACCTGTATTAAACCCAGCTTGTGCCTTGCTGGCCACTCCGTCACGACCTCCTCCAGGTGTAACCCACCACCTCAGGGACTCACGAAAACCAGTTCGACCTGAGTTGCACCGCTTTCTGATCACTCCCGGTGGGCGTCTCAAGCTGACCTGCTCACTGAGATCCGAGTGGACTCCCAAACTACGTTGTGAGTTGAATTCGGGAATCATCTGTCTCGGTTCAAAGAACACCTCAAACGGCTGAGCCACCATTGACCCTTTGCTCACTCACACTATAGCATTTCACTATATTGTTCTCCCTAGCCCCTTACATTCAGATCAGATCCCCTTGTGTTGTGTGTTCGCTCCGGCTTCCCTCGCCTACTTGACTGTGGTAAGGAGAAGAGCTTGCAGGTTTGAAGATAGGCTGAGTTGAACTGGCCTTGTGGTCATTGCTGCCACAAATCCTCATGCAGCATCTCGTCTTGCTCTCTTCCTCCTCGCTTCTGTTGGCCTACTCGTGTTGGTTCTACCGCTTTTTGCGACCCTCCTCACCTACTTGCGCTCTATGTTGCACCTGACGCCCTGGAAGGGCAGCAACGTCCGGACGCTGGACGCGTCAAATCGGTTTGACGCTGGACGTTCGGGGAAAAAAATTTCGGGCAGCCCGAAAAAATTTTCTCCTGCGAAATTGACTCGCGATTTCATCGCGACCAGAATTGACGATGACATTGCCAACTGGGGGCCGCGTTTTTTACCTAAAAAACGCAACCCTCATTTATTCCCCCCCACACATTTGTACCCATCCACATCTACCTTCTCCCAACCTGGTCGACCCCCAACTAAACTAGAGAACCAGATCTAGGTCAGGAGTATTTAACTTGTGTGTGAGATCAGGAGATTTTTAGGATTTTCTGGATTTTATGGAGTATTTATAACTGTAGGTGACAAATGTGAACTTCTTGCATTCTAACCCCTGCGTATCCTTACTAGGCAGGTTTTTTTACCCCTGCCCGGAAAACATTTTTGCCCTGCCCGGACTAGCGTCAAGCGGGCGTCCAGGGCAGGGCAGAGGGCACCGGGCGTCAAGCGTCTGGACGCCCCGTCCAGACGCCAGCGTAAAAAACGCCTGACGCGTCAGGCGCAACATAGCTTGCGCTGTTGACAAGTTGTGCTGATCCATTACCTGTTTACATGTCGGATACAAGACTTGGAAGTGGGTAAGGATTTTATCTGACTTAGCTTATCCAGTCTTCTCTTAATCTTCTCTCCCTCTCTACGCCCCCCACAGTTGCCTTTTTTGAGAACCAACTTTCTCTTACCACCGTTTTACCTGGGACTTTCTTGCTGCTCTGCTCGTTGAGCTCACATCTGACTTACGCCACACAACCTGCGTGCCAGCGCTCTATATACCACCCCTCTGTGCACCACCCCTCTGTGCACCACCCCTCTGTGCACCACCCCTCTGTGCACCACCCCTCTGTGCACCACCCCTCTGTGCACCACCCCTCTGTGCACCACCCCTCTGTGCACCACCCCTCTGTGCACCACCCCTCTGTGCACCACCCCTCTGTGCACCACCCCTCTGTGCACCACCCCTCTGTGCACCACCCCTCTGTGCACCACCCCTCTGTGCACCACCCCTCTGTGCACCACCCCTCTGTGCACCACCCCTCTGTGCACCACCCCTCTGTGCACCACCCCTCTGTGCACCACCCCTCTGTGCACCACCCCTCTGTGCACCACCCCTCTGTGCACCACCCCTCTGTGCACCACCCCTCTGTGCACCACCCCTCTGTGCACCACCCCTCTGTGCACCACCCCTCTGTGCACCACCCCTCTGTGCACCACCCCTCTGTGCACCACCCCTCTGTGCACCACCCCTCTGTGCACCACCCCTCTGTGCACCACCCCTCTGTGCACCACCCCTCTGTGCACCACCCCTCTGTGCACCACCCCTCTGTGCACCACCCCTCTGTGCACCACCCCTCTGTGCACCACCCCTCTGTGCACCACCCCTCTGTGCACCACCCCTCTGTGTGCCACCTCTCTGTGCAGCTCTCTGTGTGCCAGCTCCCTCTGTGCCAGCCCTCCGTGTGCCACCCCTCCGTGTACCACCCCTCTGTGTGCCAGTCAATCCTCCCTCTTCTGCTGCTCCTTATCTGCTTTGTTTCTCTCATCACTGTCACAGCCCTCACACCCGCATAATTGGTCTTGTTCGTTGACTGACCATGCCCCTTCTCCCTCTTCTCTTTTTGCGTTTCTCTTTTTTCTCTCATGACTCTCAATCCTGGCCGACTCAGCCCGCACATGTCTGCTTTCACAAGTCTGCTGTGGAAAAGGCAATCGAACACATGGTTCGGTCAATGAAAGTGGTTTGTTTGAGTGAGGGAAGTGAGTGGACGATATGGCTGCTGAGAGAGCGATGAGTTTACTAAATGGGTTGGTCAATGAGGCGGTGCTAGCACCAGTGAGAGAGGAGCTGGCCGCACGCAAGGAGGAGGTGAATGAGCTGCGGCACATGCTGACTGTTGCGGAGGAGAGGAACGAGGCAATGGAGGCTGTGGTGAAGGAGAGGGAGAGAGAGCTGGCAGCAGTTAGGAGGGAGTTGGCTGATCTCAAGGGTGCGATGCTTGAGCATCGGGATGTGGCTGAGAGGAGAGACTCGGATACGCGAGAGACGAGGGAGGAGTTTGTTGCAGTGAAGGGGGAGGTGGTTGAGCACAGGCAGTCAACTACTTTGCAGCTTGAGGAGGCTGAGAGGAGACGAGTGTTAGAGATGAGAGGGCAGGAGGAGGAGAGGGAGATGGGTGGGGTGAAGGAGAGGGTGAAGGGGGAGGTGAAGGGGGAGGTGAAGGGGGAGGTGAAGGGGGAGGTGGAGGGGGAGGTGGGTGAGGTGATGGGGGATGTGGCCGCACTGAAGGGGGAAGTGGGATTGGTGAAGGGGGAGATGGGTGAGGTGAACGGCGAGTTGAGTGAGGTGAAGGGAGAGGTGAGTGAGGTGAAGGGAGAGGTGAGTGAGGTGAAGGGTGAGATGGGTGAGCACAACCAGTCCACTTCATTACAGTTGGAGGAGGGTGAGAGCAGTCGAGTGGCCGAGATGAGGGAGATGAGAGGGCAGATGGAGAAGAGGGAGAGGGAGCTGGCAGCATTAAAGGGGGAACTGGAGGAGGGTGAGCAGGAAAGAGCAGCGGGTCTGATTGAGCTGAGAAGACAGGTAAAGGAGAGGGAGAGGGATCTGGCAGTAGTGAAGGGGGAGTTGGCAGCAGTGAAGGGCAAGATGGCTGAAATGAAGTATGCTCGCATGCAGTTGGATGCTCGCATGCAGTGGGAAATGGATGTTGACCTGCAAATCAGGGAGAGTGAAGGCGATGAGAAGACGGCATGGCAGGTTAGTGCTGAGGGAACTATTTCATTGTGCATGCATCGCTTGCTAGCTCTTTCTTCGCACAGCAGTCAACCCTTTCCTTTCCATATTTTCCCTCTTCACTCGTTTTCACCAGGCAGTCAAGTCAGCAAAGAAGCACCCCCTGCACCTCAAGTATCTCAAAGGTGTCTCAGACGCCATGCTCGCCCATGTCTCCACCATGACCCACCTGACGTGCATTATCTTGTTCAATACTTTAGGCTTCAGTGCAGAGGGCATCAAGCACCTCTACAGGCTGCCACGGCTACGGGTACTTAGCCTCACCAGCACAGACGTCTCAGACAGTGCCTTGGAAGGCATTGGGTCGTTGACCAGTCTCGAGCGGCTCTATCTCGGTAAGGCAAATGTGACCGATGCTGGGTTGGCGCACTTCACAGGTCTTAACTCTCTCAAAGTGCTGTGGCTTTTGGAATGCAAGGGTGTGACAGGTGCTGGCATGGTGCATGTGGGGAGGCTGACAAGGCTTGAGGAACTTTGGTTAACGGGCGCCACAGTGACAGATGATGGGCTGCAGCAGCTGACAGGTCTCTCCTCTCTCAAAGATTTGAACCTTGACGCATGCAAGGGTGTGACAAGTGCTGGGATGGTGCATGTGGGGAGGCTGACAGGGCTTAAGGAGCTTGACCTGTGGGGCACGGCAGTCACTGATGATGGGCTGCTTCAGCTGACTGCCCTTAGAAAGCTGCAGACTGTCCGCCTACCAAAATGGAACCTCTATCTTACTGAAGACGTGTGCAGGTGGATAGCCATGTAGTGTGGTAGAGAGTGGTTGAGGTGAGTGAGGGAGATGAGATTAGACTGTAGCAATTTAGGGAATACGGAGGAGAGGCATGGAGGCAAGGGTGTACATCAATGAGGCATGAAATGGTGGCTGTGCACGGCTCAACTTGCATGCTGCAGAGCGTTGGAGAATGGTCGTGTGGAGTGGAGCTCGTGCCTTGCAGTTGGACAGAAGCAGGTGCATGGTTGGTTGGGCAAGATACCACTGTGTGCATGAGGGGAGCTGCATAGAGACAGGGCCTCAGATTCGTTTTAGGCTAGGCTGAAAAATCAGAGTTGGTACAAAGCGTTTTGCTGATAATCAGACAAATCAGCCATTTTATGCCATTTTGCACTACAAATGTAGTAAAATTTCCTGTTTCTTTACACCAAAATGCTGGAAAATCAGCCTCAGTTGTAAAAAAGGTCTAAAATCTCAGCCTTTTTAACCTAAATCAGCCTTTTTCGCTGACTTCTGAGGCCCTGCTTGGCTAGCATTTTTTTTATGATGGAGGGGGAAGCGGTCATCAGCAGGGTGGACGGGAAAGGGGAAGGGGAGAGGGGAGAGGGGGGGCGGGGCAGAAGGGGGGAGGCGAGGCAAGGAAGCTGGGGACGAGGGTGAGCAAGAGAGCAGAAAGAAAGACGAGCATGGTGGGTGCAGTGGCAGCAGCAGTGGCAGCAGCAGTGGCAGCAGCAGTGGCAGCAGCAGTGGCAGCAGCAGTGGCAGCAGCAGTGGCAGCAGCAGTGGCAGCAGCAGTGGCAGCAGCAGTGGCAGCAGCAATGGCAGCAGCAGTGGCGGCAGCAGTGGTAGCAGCAGTGGCGGCAGCAGTGGCAGCAGCAGTGGCAGCAGCAGTGGCAGCAGCAGTGGCAGCAGCAGTGGCAGCAGCAGTGGCAGCAGCAGTCGCAGCAGCAGTCGCAGCAGCAGTCGCAGCAGCAGTGGCAGCAGCAATGGCAGCAGCAGTGGCAGCAGCAATGACAGCAGCAGTGGCGGCAGCAGTGGTAGCAGCAGTGGCAGCAGCAGTGGTAGCAGCAGTGGCGGCAGCAGCAGGTGTATGAGGAGAAGCTGTATACACTGCCCGCCATGCCTGCCAGGCTGTACAGATCTTCCACGAAAACCAGAAAGCCAAGGCATAGGTGGTTGTATGACTGCACAGATCTTGTAAGGCACTACTTTTAATATCCAATTGCTTTGGAGAAGTACAGGTGATCACGTTCTGTCAAGTTTTTATTTGTCGTTCCAGACAAAGAATTTTGAGGGTTTAATCGAGTTTGTCTGAGCACTAAAGAAGGTTGTCAAATCACAGTATATAATTTATCCAATGTGGTGTACATACATGAGTGGCAGCGGTTTGCAAGCAGACAGAAGGATATGCTCCGAGTACATTCTGCTGGCTGGATGGTTGGCATTGGAGAGAGCAGAGGTAACGAAGGAAGCAGTGGGCACATGAGTGCATGGGAGGGAAAAGGTCAGCTTTGATGCATGCTGGACCTGGTGTGCAGTGCACCTGAGCTTCAACCCAACCAGCCACCCGGCTTGGAGTGTCCCAAACGGAAATTGCTGTTTCCCTCTTCACATTTTGGCCCTTGGTGCTTCTTACACCACCTCTCGAGAAGCACCTGCTACGGAAGAAGCAGCGCTGCTGTGAATGGCTGCAGATGGCAATACTGTGAGACAAGCTGAATTCCTGAACCTGGAAGCGATGATTTCAAGAGGCATGCAGGAGCTGAAATCTTGCTCCCTTGAAACTTTCTCAGTATGCGTAGTAGTGTTCCCTTGAATTGAATCCTTGTTACACCACCTCTCAAGGAGCACCTGCTACGGGAGGAAGTGCTGCTGTATGATGACTGCAGATGGCAACATTTGAAAAGAAACATTTAAAGCACACAGAGCTGGCCGCTGATAAGGCTCGACATACCATACTCCCACCAGTTTTACCTTCTGAAGTGATGATGATTCCCAGTCCATCCATGCTAGATCTTCCCGTGCTGCAAGCATCACACATCACCTCCCTGGCAGCCTCACTTCCCTGCATGCCATGCGATCATGTTGAGGCCAATGCTGGAAGCAGCTGCAAGGAGTCAAAGCAGGAGAAATGGGGGGGGGAGGGAGAAGGTGGGTCGGGAAAGGGAAGGAGGGGTTGGGGGTGCCTGTCTGCTGCCACCATCATGAACCAACCACCAAGGAGCAGAGGGAGGAGGGAGTATGGGGGAACTGAGGGGAGCGAGGGAGGATGGAGGGGGGATTGGGTTGGGTGTTACCAGGCAGTCCGGATGCAGGAGATGGCGAGAGAAGTGAAAGGTGTTGTAAGCAGGTGAAAAGGTCAGGCGATGGTTACGCTGTAATGCTGGAATTGGAGCGGATCAAGGTGATGGTGGGAAGAGAAGGAGGATCCATGATAGGGAGGAAGAACACTTGGTTGGTGCACGAGGTTTATGTATGTTGCCAAGGGGAACAGCATGATGGGATGAAGGGGATAGCATGCATGATGGGATGAAGGGGATAGCATGCATGATGGGATGAAGGGGATAGCATGCATGATGGGATGAAGGGGATAGCATGCATGATGGGATGAAGGGGATAGCATGCATGATGAGATGAAGGGGATAGCATGCATCATGAGATGAAGGGGATAGCATGCATGATGAGATGAAGGGGATAGCATGCATGATGAGATGAAGGGGATAGCATGCATGATGAGATGAAGGGGATAGCATGACGATATGACCAAACTGCTGAGAGCTGGCTGGGGGGAAGGAGGAGAAGATAGGGGGGACAAGCACAGGCATTGGAGGAGCTGAATGGGGTGGCGAGGGATGTTGGGTGTGCGCAGGGAAAATCAAGGCACCAGGAAGGGAGGGAAGGAAAGAGGGGGGGACAAGGGAGAAGACATGAGAGAATGGAAGAAAAAGTGCCAGATAGGAAGGGCACGAATGGGAATAAGACCGGGGAAGGAAGGGGAATGGAGGGGTGGTGAGGGATGGGTAGCTTGTCTCACCTGTCATGATGTCATATGCCACCCAGGAGGGGATTCGTGGTGTGGTCAGCTCCTTGTGCTGCTTCACACATGATTTGGTGGACCATGCACACACCTGTAAAGATTGGAAGAAAGTGAGACAGTCGTGAATGAGCTGTTGTAGAGAAAGCAAAGTGCTTCAAGAAAGGCGAGGAGGGGACGGATGGGGAGGAGAATGAATGTGGTGGCAAAGAGTTGGGAATTGAAGGAATCTATTAGAGAGCGTAGCGATAACGAGAGAGTTTCTGCTATGGGAATGATGTTGCGCCAGCAACTTGGTAGAGTTTCGGTAGCGTTTGCCTCTAAGGACTTGTTGAGAATTGAAGTAGCATTTGGACTTCACTAGGAACATAGAAAATATATATCAAACACACAAGCAACACAAACATATATAGGCAGGCGAGGGTTTCACAAGAGGTTGCGTGGGCGCTGCGAGTAACCCAACCCCACGAAAGTGGTGTGTGGGTGAGCGAACGCGCCTCGCCAATTTCCCAACCCAACTCAGCATCGACTTCTCGCTTCCGTGCACACCACTCCACCAACACAGCAAGGAGTGGTGCGACTCTCAAGGAAGCACCAACGACTCCCACGGACTCTCGCTTCTTCATGCAAACTCCTGCGCAGTTGCACATAGTCACACGTAGTCACACCCGACCTTCACTGAACTCATTCATCGGTGCCGAGTAGACTCAGTCGTTAGGCGTCGACCTGCCAAGTCAAAGGTGATCGAGGGCCCTTGCTGTTTTAGGGCCCTCTAACACTCCCCTGCCATACTACAGCAAGGCCCTTTATAATCACAGGGCATGCATACACACGTACACGCCAAAACAAAGGGAAACACACACAAACGAAGCACTCTCAAAGTGCAAACACGCACCGCACCAGCCATGGATAGGCCATGGCACCATCCACATCATGGAGTGTTTAGGTCTCACCCCCCTCACTCGAAAGCCTCACCTGCCCCACAGCCTCGAAGCAACGACTGAAGGCGGGGAAATGCAATGCCTTCGTGAGGTAGTCAGCAGGCTGCTCGCTCGTAGGGATGTACTGCAACTGCAGCTTCCTGCGCTTGACCATGTGCTGCAGCCACATGTGGCGACGCTCCATGTGCTTGAGGCTCCCCTTGAGCCCCATGCCACCTGCCACTGAAATGGCGGAGGAGTTGTCCACAAAGAGAGTAGTGGGTTCCTCACTCCTCAGCAGTTGAAACTCTGCCAGCAGGAAGCGCAGCCTGCGCGCCTCCTTCCCAGCCTCCACAGCAGCAACATACTCAGACTCAGTGGAGGAGAGGGTGGCGCAACGAATCCTCTGGCTTGCCCATGAGACAGCAGCACCCCCGAGCACGAAGACATAGCCACCTGTGCTGGTCCTGTTCTGCTTGTCCCCTGCATCATCAGCATCGGCGTAGCCCACCAGCTCCAAGGACTCCGGCCCACCACCAAACTCCAGCGCCACATCCCTGCTCCCCACCAAGTATGTCAAGCACCGGTTCAACTCCTTCCAGTGCTGATCACTCCGCACAGTCTGGCCCGACCCCAGCTTGCTGCAGGCGAACGAGATGTCGGGACGGGTGGTACAGGCCGCGAACTGCAAGGATCCCACCTTCTGCCTGTACTCCTCCTCCTGGCGAGACTGCCATCCCACATCCTCAAAGGTCTGCACACTGAAAGGGTCAGAGGAAAGAGGGGTGCGAGGCACTCGCAGCGGCTGCTCCCCGTCAAAGAAGCGCCTATGAACCTTGTCCACATAGGCCCCCTAGTGCAGCCACAGCCTCCTCGTAGGCCTGTCCCGAATCAGCTGCAACCCCAGATACTTCTCCACAGGGCTAATCTCCCGCAGCTGAAACGCACTCTGCAGCAGCTCACGCAGCTCCCCAAGCATGCTCTGACTGCGGCTGGCAGCAAGCAGGTCATCCACATACACCAGCAGCAGGCACATCTCCCCATCAGCATCAGTTTTGAAGTACAGAGCCTCATCCACCTTGCTCTTCTTCCATCCAGCCCCAAGCAGCACCCCATCCAAGGCCTCATACCATAGCATCGGGCTCTGCTTGAGCCCATACAGACTTTTCACCAACTTACAGACACGAGGAGTCCCATCCTCGTAGTAGCTCGGCTGCTCCATATAAAGGTCTCGGTCCAGCACGCCATGGAGGAACGCGTTCTTTACATCGAGCTGCATCAGGTCCAAATCAAGTGCAGCTGCAATCGCCAGAAGCACACGCGCCGTCACATAGCTTCCCACAGGGGCGTACGTCTCCTCATAGTCCACCCCTGCCACCTGCGTGAACCCCTTCACCACCAGCCTCGCCTTCTCACGCTCCACTATCCCATCAGGTCGGAACTTGGTGTTCAAAATCCTGCGGTTCTTCATCACATTCACCCCTGGCGGACGCGGAACCAACTCCCACGTCCCCTGCTCAATCAAGCTCCGCATCTCTTCATCCATCGCCTCTTTCACCTTGTCGCCCTTCCAGCAGCCCAAGGCCTCCTTCACTGTCATTTTCGCTATGTCCCACTGCCTCTCAGGATCAGCTGCAACGTCCGGGTCCAGGTCAGTCCACTCCTCGTCCTCCTCCTCGTCATCCAAGCCCGCTGGCTCAACCACTACAGCCCAAGCGTATCGAACAGGCGGGACACCACGAGTGATGCGAGTGGAGCGACGCACTGGTGCAGTGGTCGTCCCAGAAACCAACACACGACCACCATCTCTAATTCCCCACATCTCCTGCTCCCCTGTCTGCGGTTCCCCTGTCTGCTGCTCCCCTAGCTGCTGGTCCACCATCTGCTGCTCCTCAATCCGCTCCTCCTCTATCTGCTGCTCCCCACTCTGCTGCTCCCCTATCTGCTGCTCCCCAATCTGCTGCTCCCCTGTCTGCTGTACTCCATCCATACTGCTCTCGTCCTGCAGCTGCTCAGTCTCAAGGCGCTGCCCGTCGGTGATCTCCACAGACGGTGGCACCTCCATCCCCCCCCCACCAACGGGCGGCGCCATGGAAGACGAAGAGGAGGGCGGAGCAGGTGCAGGAGGGATGGAGGGTGGAAGGGGAGATGGAATACCAGGAGGACTAGGGGAAGCCAAGGGGGGTGAGGAGGAAGAAGGCGGGTAGACTGAAGGCGGAGGAGGGGTGGGGACCGAGGTAGGGACATAGGGCATAGCAGGAGGTGCGACCACCTCCTCCTCCTCCTCCGCCTCCTCGAGAGTGATCGGGAAGAGTGAGGGAAGGGGCTCATAGGGCATCGAACGCCCCCCATGCTTCTGCTGATGCCAAGCCTTCCATCCTGCTAGGGACATGGTCTCATAAAACACAGCTTCCACAGTGGTGATGAGGCGGTTGGACTCCAAGTCCAGCACGGTCCAGCCTTTGCTCGCAGCTGACACACCCAAGTGCATCCCCCAGCGAGCCTTAGGCGCCAGCTTCCCCCCACGCTGCGACCGTGGTACCATGTACTGCAGCATGCAGCCCCAAACACGCACCATACTGACATCAGGTTTGCGTCGGAAGGCGAGCTCGTACGGCGTCACACCAGAGGGTAGTGAGGCGTGCTCCACGCGGTTGCGCACCCAGACGGCCTGAGCCAACGCCAGGTGCCACCAGTGATGCTGCACACCCATGTGCAGCAACATCGTCCGCACCGCCTCCACAATGCTGCGCATCTCCCTCTCGGCCATCCCGTTCTGCTCTGGCGTATACGGGCATGTGAGGTCATGGATGATGCCTTTACCGTCGAGGAAGAGCGTGAAGTCGTGCCCCAGGAACTCGCCACCCCGATCAGTGCGCAGCGCCTGCACCGTGGTCTTGCACTGTCGCTCTGCCATCGGGAGCCACTTCTGGAACGCCGCCAGCGCATCACTCTTCTGGGCCAAAGGGTAGACCCAGACATATCGCGTCTTGCGATCCTTCAGCACCAAGAAGTAGCGGCTGCCGTCCTTAGCTGCTTCACGGAAAGTGCCACACAGGTCAGCATGCACCACCCCGAGCAACTCATCCTCCTCCTCTCCCACAGAAGGAAAGGTATGACGAGTGATCTTTCCCCCAACACAGGAAACACAAGGTATGCCTGACTTGCCCCCCTTCTCCAAATTCAAGCCCTTCACTGACCCGTGAGCCGCTGTGCGCTCGATGGCATCAATACCAACGAGTGCCATACGCGCATGCCACAGGTCCCCCTTAGACCGCACGCCCGTCGCCAAGGTACGAAGTGCCACCATTTCGCCTTCCTGCTGCTGCGTCGAACACGGCTGGAAGTTCGTGCAGAGAACACGCCCCTTGAACTCCGCACGACCAAGGAGCGATCCATCTGGTGCCCGCAGCAAAGTCACATCCCCGCCATCCAGCAGCTGCACACCACATTCACGCAGCTGCCCAGCAGAGAGAAGACACGCCTGCACTCCTGGTACGTACAGCACGTCCGGCACCAAGACACGCCTGCCCCCCTCTCCAAGAAGAGCGACTGTGCCCCGCCCCTGCACCTCCTGAAGCGCGCCGTTGAAGCCAGTAACCTGTTTAATAATGCCGTCGCTGCTCATCTCCACAAAGGCAGAACGATCTCCCATGAGATGGTGGGAGCATCCGCTATCAAGCAGCACGACGCTCGGGTTCGCCTTCACAGCAGCTGCAACAGCCTGTAAGCCCTCCCCGCCCTCAGGCTCTAGCACAACGAGAGGAGTCTGCTCCACAACGGGCTTCACCATCGCACATGATGATTGCCCGCTCCCCTTAGAGCCATCACCCCCCTTTCCGCTGCTACCTCCAGTGCCCTCTCCACCGGTGTCTGCCTCTTTATCCGCCCGCTGCTGACAGTACTTAGCAACATGCCCTATTTGTCCACACACATAGCACTTCCCTTTGAAACCCCCTTTCCCCCCCTTCGGCTGGCCATCCTTACCCCCTTTCCACTTCTCCCCTCCCCCACCAAGCCCACCCCCATTCTTAGGCTGCTGCTGTTGTGCCGTAGTGGGAGGGGAAGGGAACGAATTCTGCTGGAATTGGGGCTTACCCTTCTTGGTAAAGACCTGGTTAGCCTGGGGAAGGAATTGGTCCTTTCGTCCCTCTGACGCCAGCGTACATTCCTCCTCGATGATGTAGCTAGCGAGGGTGTTCTTGTCCAACTCCTTGCGCACCTGCGGCAACTTCAGCATCCTGCGTAAGAGGTTGTACTGCTGCGGCAACCCCTTCACAACGTGAGTGATGTACGACGCTTGCGAGTAATCTACGCCGGCCATCCTCAGGTTCACTAGGATCTGCTGCGCACGGTTGCAATAGGACGTAGCGGACTCGTGCTCTCCCATCTCGAGGTTAGTGAGCGCCTGCTCTAACTGACCGATGTACAGATCGTCCTTTGCCATGTACGTGCGCATAATAAACTGCCATGCCTGATAGCCGGCATCAACCTTCATGCGACACGCCTTAAGGGCGATCTGTACGGTTGGGGAGCAACATCGGGAAATGGTGGTGAATGTCAGCAACTGCATCGTGCGGAACTGAGAGAGATGCGCAAGCGCACGCGATGGTGGAATAGGGGTGGTGCCATCTATGAATCGCTTTAGCTGAGCGATCTCAAGCTGCGGCTCGATTGATTCTGTCCACGTCGACAGGTCGTGATGTCCTTCTAACGGACTAGTGACAACGATCTTGTCTGGACTGAATCTGAAGTAGCCATAGTTGGGGGCTATTCCCTCGTCCCTCGACATCGATCCAATCGGGGTAACGCCCGGCATAGTCTCACTATCGAACTCTTCCGCAATTCCTCCCCCAGCAACGCTTCGCCGTCCTACATTCGCATGCTCTCGTGACGCTGCTGCACGATGAACACGCTCCTGTACACCGCCGACGCTAGCCGTACTAAACCGAGTTGGTCTTCGCAGGACCCCACGCGACATCAACCCATCAAACTCCTCGTCATCGCTATTTCTGCCATCGACAGCCATATCCCACGCACTAGTACCTCCCGCAATTTGCTCAACATTCTCTACACGTGGCGAAGGGTGCTCACGACGCCGACGCGAGCGCAATCCCTCCAACATTAGCTCGTATTCGATATCACTAATCTCACCACGAGAATGACGGGCCACGAGATCCTCCTCTAGAGCGTGCAAATTACCGGCCTCCACGTTCGCCTCCTCAGTACTCATCCTCTACGACGTCTCTATAAGGTACCACAAATTAAAATAAAGTGCCCCTTCCTTAAATCCCTCGTCTCGGGGTCACCTCACAAGGGTCCTCAGACGAGTGGTAATAAATTACCAAACGCCCTATCCTTGGGTCCGAGAACGTAACTGGAGGGAAATCAAGAGAGGTTCAACTTAGATTAATAAGCGCCCTTCACTAACGCCGCACGCCAAGGCGAGTATACGAACGCGAATATCAACGACGACGGAAATCTAAGCGTGTTCGTTCCACGCTCACCGCACCATGAAGGAATCTATTAGAGAGCGTAGCGATAACGAGAGAGTTTCTGCTATGGGAATGATGTTGCGCCAGCAACTTGGTAGAGTTTCGGTAGCGTTTGCCTCTAAGGACTTGGTGAGAATTGAAGTAGCATTTGGACTTCACTAGGAACATAGAAAATATATATCAAACACACAAGCAACACAAACATATATAGGCAGGCGAGGGTTTCACAAGAGGTTGCGTGGGCGCTGCGAGTAACCCAACCCCACGAAAGTGGTGTGTGGGTGAGCGAACTCGCCTCGCCAGTTTCCCAACCCAACTCAGCATCGACTTCTCGCTTCCGTGCACACCACTCCACCAACACAGCAAGGAGTGGTGCGACTCTCAAGGAAGCACCAACGACTCCCACGGACTCTCGCTTCTTCATGCGAACTCCTGCGCAGTTGCACATAGTCACACGTAGTCACACCCGACCTTCACTGAACTCATTCATTGGTGCCGAGTAGACTCAGTCGTTAGGCGTCGACCTGCCAAGTCAAAGGTGATCGAGGGCCCTTGCTGTTGTAGGGCCCTCTAACAGGAATGCGGCAATTCTTTTGTGAAGAAATCCCATAGGTGTGCTGCTGGAGCAAGACATGTGACCCTGCAGTGCAATTCATCGCCTGAAGACATGCCCACAACATTGTACAGTGTTCACAGCAACGGTGGAGGGGAGCGATTACGAGTGAATAAGCAAACTCATGCTGGTTCGTCAGAAAGCACTTCACACGCTCGCACACACCTTCGGACACAGCATCAGCTTGCAAGCAGCACCTCTCCATTCTTCACATGGAACCTAAAAGCCGAGTGTGTTCTGTTGCCTTGCTATTCCCTCACGCCTCCCTTTTGCCTGCCTCCCTCCACACCCCGCTGGCCAACTCCATCGCCACCACTCCTGCTGCTGCTGCTGCAGTCGGCGGCTCCGCCACGCCGCCCAGCAGTGTGCTGTCGTGAGGGACCATGCTACCGTGAGGGGCCATGCTGCCGCCATGCTCACCGGTGGTAGAGATGAGATGGAACTCTCCCAGTTAGTACAGTACAGGTGCTGCTGGTTGGGAAAGTGGAAGGGAGTGGGTGGGAGCCAGGGAGAGGGCAAAGAGGGTCAGGGCATAGAGAAGGAATGGGGAGTGGGCGATAGCAGATGGCACCACACTCAAAAAAGCGGTGTTCAGGTTTTTTTTTTTATCAACAAATAAATACCAAAAGCACCATGGCGGGCGCATTTGAACTAAGGCACAAAAGGAGAAAGGTTTGATTAGCAACATTGGATGAAGAAAGAGAGGCAAGGAGAAACTGACTTGAATTTCATACTTGGCTTCTTTCACCTGCACGTTAGCATGCCTACCTCCCTGCCGTCAGTTGAGAAGGTGTTTGCAATTGCTGTAACGACTCAGTGATGCATCGATTCATAGCGATGGGAGCACGGGAGCATGGGTGCATGGGAGCATGGGAGCATGGGAGGAGCATGGGTGCATGGGAGCATGGGTGCATGGGTGCATGGGAGCATGGGTGCATGGGAGCAAGGGGGTATGGGAGCAAGGGGGTATGGGAGCAAGGGGGTATGGGAGCAAGGGGGTATGGGAGCACGGTTTCAGCATGCCAGTTAATGGCAACCATGAGAGATAGGAGAAAAGCAATGAACAATATGGGTGGGCGATGCAGCGCACTTCCTGCCCTCTGCACTTTACTCATGCGCTTCAAGAGCTCGGGGCTCTGCCGCTGGAGGTACTTCTGCTGACGTCACTGGAGCTGGGAGTGGTGCTGGTCCCGGAGGTGCTCGTACTGGAGGTACTGGAGCTGCTGGAGC